GAGGGTCAGCAGCTATCACTGCAGCTCCAGTCTGTCAGTTTTCCCTTGCCAGTGCCAGGGAGACTGGGCACTTCGGACCCAGGAGGAATTCCCCATAGCGCAGCACAGTGGCTGTGACAGATCATGGCCAGACAGCCTCTTTAGGCTAGACCCAGACCCATTGCTTCTCACCACGCAGGGCCTCCCTTTGGGAATTTCAGCAACTCCAGCCAGGGTTTACAGACAGAACTCTGATCTCCCTGGGACAGAGTCCCTAGGAGAAGGGGTGGCTGCAGTCGCTGCAGATCAGTGGACTTAGTCTTTCCCCCTGCTGACTCTGAAGAATCTGGGCATTCCAGATGAGTGAGATTCCCCGCAGTGCAATGCACCCCCTCCACCAAGGCGCAGCCAGAGTACTTCATTAAGCAGGTCCCTGATCCCATGCCTCCTCACTGAGTGACACTCTCCCCACAAGGGTCACCAGACACATACAGGAGCATTCCACTGACATCAGGTCGGTGCCCCTCTGGGACAGAGCTCTCAGAGGAAGGAGCAGGCAGCCATATTTGCTGTTCTGCAGCCTCCATTGGTGACAGGAAGGACCCAGGTGAATAGGGTCTGGAGTGCATCCCCAGCAAACTGCAGCAGCCCTACAGAAGAGGGGCCTGACTGTTAAAAGAAAAATAAACAAACAGAAAGCAACAACAACAACAACAGCATCTACAGAAAAGTCCCCTACCAAGACCCCATCCAAAGGTCAGCTACTCCAAAGATCAAAGCTAGATAAACCCACAAAGATGAGAAAGAATCAATGATAAAACACTGAAAACTCAAAAAGCCAGAATGCCTCTCCTTCTCCAAATGATTGCAAAACTCTCCAGGAAGGGCACAGAACTGGACGGAGGATGAGATAGATGAATTGATAGAAGTAGGCTTCAGAAGGTGAGTAATAACGAACTTTGCTGAGCTAAAGGAGCATGTTCTAACCCAACGTAAAGAAGCTAAGAACCATGATAAAACATTACTGGAGCTGTTAACCAGAATAAGTAGTTCAGAGAGGAGCATAAATGATCTGATGGAGCTGAAAAATGCAACACAAGAACTTAACAATGCAACCACAAGTATCAATAACTGAATAGACCAAGTGGAGGAAAGAATTTCAGAGCTTGAAGACTCTCTTGCTGAAATAAGACAGACAGACAAGATTAGATTTAAAAAAAAAAAAAAAAAAAAGAATAAAAAGGAAAGAACAAAACCTCCAAGAACTATGGGATTACATAACAAGACCAAACCTATGAATGATTGGGGCACCTGAAAGAGATGGAGAGAACACAACCAAGTTGGAAAACATACTTTGGGATATCATCCAGGAGAAATGTCCCAACCTAGCAAGACAGGCCAACATTCCAATTCAGGAAATTGAGAGAACCCCAGAAAGATACTTGATGGGAAGATCAACCCCAAGACACATAATCATCAGATTTTGTTAAGGTTGAAATGAAGGAAAAAAATGTTAAGGCAGCCAGAGAGAAAGGCCAGGTACCTACAAAAGGAAGCTGATCAGACTAACAGTAGACCTTTCAGCAGAAACCCTACATGCCAGAAGAGATTGGGGGCTAATATTCAACATTCTTAAAGAAAAGAATTTCCAACCAAAAATTTCATATCTGGCCAAACTAAGCTTCATAAGTGAGGAAGAAAAAAAATAAAATCCTTTCCAGACAAGCAAATGCTGAATGAATTTGTCACCACCAAGCTGCCTTGCAAAACTCCTGAAGGAAGCACTAAATATGTAAAGGAAAAAATGGTACCAGCCACTACAAAAACACACTGAAGTACAAAGACCAATGACACTATGAAGCAACTACATCAACAAGTCTGCAAAATAATCAGCTAGCATCATGATGACAGGATCAAATTCACACATAAAAATATTAACCTCAAATATAAATGGACTAAATGCCCCAATTAAAAGACACAGAATGGCAAGCTGAATAGAGTGAAGACCCACTGGTGTGCTGTATTCAAGAGTCCCCTCTCACATGCAAAGACACATATAGGCTCAAAATAAAGAAATGAAGGAAAATGTACCAAGCAAATGGAAAGCAGAAAAAAGCAGGGGTTGCAATCCTAGTTTCTGACAAAGGAGACTTTAATAAGCCAACAAAGATCAAAAAAGGCAAAGAAGAGCATTACATGATGGCAAAGGGTTCAATTGAACAAAGAAGAGCAAGCTATCCTAAATATATATGCTCCCAATACAGGAGCACCCAGATTCATAAAACAAGTTCTTAGAAACCTATGAAGAGACTTAGACTACCACACAATAAGAGTGGGAGAATTTAACACCCCACTGTCAATATTAGACAGATCATTGAGACAATAAATTAACAAGGATATTCAGGACTTGAATTCAGCTCTGGATCAAGTGGGCCTAATAGATATCTACAGAACTCTTCACTCAAAAACAACAGAACATACTTTCTTCTCAGCACCACATGGCACTTACCCAAAATCAATCACATAATTGGAAATAAAATACTCCTCAGCAAGTGCAAAATAACTGAAATCGTAACAAACAGTCTCTCAGACCACAGTACAATCAAATTAGAGCTCAAGATTAAGAAGCTCACTCAAAACCACACAATTACATGGAAATTGAACAACCTTCTCCTGAATGACTCCTGGGTAAATAATGAAATTAAAGCAGAAATCAAGAAGTTCTTTGAAACCAATGAGAACAGAGACAACATACCAGAATCTCTGGGATGCACTGTTTTAGCTGCACTAAAGCATTGTTAAGAGGGACATTTATAGCACTAAATGCCCACATCAAAAAGCTAGAAAGATCTCAAATCAACACCCTAACACCACAACTAAGAGAACTAGAGATCTAAAAGCAAACAAACCCCAAAGCTAGCAGAATACAACAAATAACCAAGATCAGAGTGGAACTGAAGGAGATAGAGACATGAAAAATCCTTCAAAAAATCAACAAATCCAGGAGCTATTTTTTTGAAAAATGAATAAAATAGATAGACTGCTAGCTAGAATAATAAAGAAAAGAGAGAAGAACCAAACAGGCACAATAAGAAATGATAAAGAGAGTATCACCACTGACTCTACGGAAATACAAACAACCATCAGATAATACTATAAACACCTCTATGCAAATAAACTAGGAGATCTAGAAGAAATGGATAAATTCCTGCACACATACACCCTCCCAAGACTGAACCAGGAAGAATTATTGTGTGGGAATCTGAATAGACCAATAACAAGTTCTGAAATTGAGGCAGCAATAAATAGCCTGCCAACCAAAAGACAGCCCAGGACCAGATGGATTTACAACTGAATTCTACCAGAGGTACAAAGAGGAGCTGGTACCATTTCTTCTGAACCTATTCTGAACAACTGAGAAGGAGGGACTCCTCCCTAACTCATTTTGTGAGGCTGGCATCATCCTGATACCAAAACCTGGCAGAGATACAACAAAATAGAAACCTCAGGCCAATATCCCGGATGAACATTGATGCAAAAATCCTCAATAAAATACTGGCAAACTGAATCGAGCAGCACATCAAAAAGCTTAACACATGCACACAGGGAGAGAAACAACACACACTGGGGCCTGTCGGGGTGTCAGAGGGAGGGAGACCATCAAGATAAACAGCTAATGCATGCAGGGCTAAACACCTAACTGTTGGGTGGATGGGTGTGGCAAACCATCGTGGCACACATTTATCTATGTAACAAACCTGCACATCCTGTGAACTTAAAATTAAGTTAAATTTAAAAAAGAAACAAATGAGGACAACAAATAGTATATCAAATATGATAGATATTAATTTAATATATAAATAATCATTTCTAATATCAATGGCCCAAATACACAATTAAAGAGATTGTCAGAATGGATTAAAAAAAAATGACCCAACTATGTGTTGTTCATAAGAAACCCACTTTAAATATAAAAATAAATATAGATTAAAAATAAATGATGGAGGAGAATATATCAGGCAAATAATGATCAAAAGAAAGCAGCAGTAATTATATTAATTTCAGACAGAGCAGACTTCACAACAAACAATGTTATCAAGAATAAAGAGAGGCATTAAAAAAGATAAACAGGTACAGATTTCAAGATGACATAACAATCCTTAATGTATATGGACCTAAAAAGAGTATCAAGCTATGTGAGGCAAGAACTGGTAGAACTATAGAAGAGAAATAGATGAATTCACTATTATAATTGGAGACTTCAACACCCCCTTACCAGAAATAAACAGATTCAGCAGGCAAAAACATCACTGAGGACATGCAGTTGAACTCAATACCGCCATCAATCAACTGGATATAATTGACGTCTATCAACCACTTCAACAGCAGAATACACATTTATCCCAAGAGCACATGGAACATTCACCAAGATAGACCACGTTCTGTGACATAAACACAACTTAAAAAAAAAAAAATGGAAATCCTACAATGTCTGCTCTCAGATCATAAGGAAATTTAGTTAGAAATTAATAACCGAAAGATAACTGAAAAATCTGAAAATACATGAAGATTAAATCACATACTTCTACGTAACATATGGATCAAGAAGAAATCTCAAGAGAAAATTTAAAATCTATTAAGCTAAATGAAAACAAAAGCACAACTTATCAAAATTTGTGGAATGTGGTGGAAGCAGTGTGTAGAGGGAAATTTATAGCATTAAAGGTAGCTATTAGAAAAGATGAAAGATTCAAAATGAATAACCTAAGTTTCTACCTTGGAAAACTAGCAAAAGAAGATCAAATAAAATCCAAAGTAAGCAGAAGAGAAGAACTAGTAAGAATTAGAGTCAAAATCAATGAAATTGAAACAGAAAATCAACAGAGAAAATCAACAAAACCAAAAGCTGGTTCTTTGAAAAGATCAATAAAATTGCCGCCGATGACGCGTGGGAGGAGCAGGAAGAGGCCGCCCCGCCGCCGCCTCGCGCCCACCGGCCCGCAGCCCAGGCCGCGGCCAACATGAACCAGCAGCAGCAGCAGCAGAAAGCGGGCAAGCAGCAGATGAGCGAGCCCAAGAACATGGAGATGGAAGCTGGAGATACAGACGACCCATCAAGAATTACCCAGAACACTGTGATCAATGGGAACGCGGCCCCGAGTGATGGACATAGCAACGCAGAGGAGGACAAGGAGGATGAAACCAGTGAGCGCTCCAAGGAGACCTTTCGGTTCACTGTGGAGCGCTTCAGCAGACTGAGTGAGTCGGTCCTTAGTCCTCCGTGTTTTGTGCGAAATCTGCCATGGAAGATTATGGTGTGCCACACTTTTATCCAGAGAGACCGCACCAAAAAAGTGTAGCATTCTTTCTCCAGAGCAATGCTGAATCTGACTCCACGTCACGGACTTGTCATACACAAGCAGTGCTGAAGATAATAAATTACGGAGATGATGAAAAATCGTTCAGTCGTCGTATTAGTCATTTGTTCTTCCATAAATAAAACGATTGGGGATTTTCCAATTTTATGGCCTAGAGTGAAGTGACTGATCCTAAGAAAGGATTTATGATGACAAAGTTACCATTGAAGTCTTTGTACAGGTGGATGCTCCCCATGAAGTTGCGTGGGATTCAAAGAAGCACACAGGCTATGTCAGCTTAAAGAATCAGGGAGTGACTTGTTACATGGACAGCCTGCTACAGACGTTATTTTTCACAAATCAGCTACGAAAGGCTGTGTACATGATGCCAACCGAGGGGGATGATTTGTCTAAAAGCGTCCCTTTAGCATTACAAAGAGTATTCTATGAATTACAGCACAGTGATAAACCCATAGAAACAAAAAAGCTAATGAAGTCATTTGGGTGGGAAATTTTAGACAGCATCATGCAACATGATGTTCAGCAGCTTTGTGGAGTGTTGCTTGATAATGTGGAAAATAACGTGAAAGGCACCTGTGTAGAGGACACCATACCCAGATGATTCTGACACAAAATGGTGTCCTATATCCAGTGTAAAGAAGTAGACCACCCGTCTGATAGAAGAGAAGATTATTATGATACCCAGCTAAATATCAAAGGAAAGAAAAATATATTTGAATCATTTGTGGATTATGTGGCAGTAGAACTGCTCAATAGGGACAATAAATAGGACGCTGGGGAACATGGCTTACAGGAAGCAGAGAAAGATGTGAAATTTCTAACATCACCACCAGTGTTACGTCTACAATTGATGAGATTTTTGTATGACCCTCAGATGGACCAAAATATCAAGATCAATGATAGGTTTGAATTCTCAGAGCAATCACCATTTAATGAATTTTTGTAAAAAAAAAAACAAAACACAGATCCTAAGGACCCTGCAAATTATATTCTTCATGCAGTCCTGGTTCATAGTGGAGATAATCATGGTAAACATTATGTGCTTTATCTAAACCCAAAGGGGACGGCAAATGGTGTAAATTTGATGACGATATGGTGTCAAGGTGTACTAAAAAGGAAGCAATTGAGCACAGTTATGGGGGTCATGATGACAACCTGTCTGTCCGACACTGCACTAATGCTTACATGTTAGTCTGTATCAGGGAACTAAAACTGAGTGAAGTTTTACAGGCAGTCACCGACCATGACATTCCTCAGCAGTTGGTGGAACAATTACAAGAAGAGAAAAGGATTGAGGCTCAGAAGTGGAAGGAATGGCAGAAAGCCCATCTCTATAGGCAAGCACAGATAGCTGCAGAGGACAAGTTTTGTGACGGCAATAAAGCAATGATTGAGGTCAGTAATAATGAAAACTCTTGGACAATATTCCTAGAAACAGTCGATCCTGAGCTTGCTGCTAGTGGAGCGACCTTACCCAAGTGTGATAAAGATTGTGATGTAATGTTGTTTTTGGAGATGTATGATCCCAAAACGCGGAGCTTGAATTACTGTGGGCATATCTACACACCAATAATCCTGTAAAATACGTGCCTTGCTCCCAGTTATGTGTAACAGAGCAGGATTTACTCAAGATACTAGCCTTATCCTCTATGAGAAAGTTAAACCAAATTTAACGGAGAGAATTCAGGACTAAGACGTGTCTCTTGATAAAACCCCTGATGAACGAATGGATGGTGACATCATAGTATTTCAGAAGGATGACCCTGAAAAATGGTAACACTGAATTACCCACCGAAAAGGAGTATTTCCGAGACCTCTACCACCGCGCTGATGTTATTTTCTGTGATAAAACAATCCCTAATGATCCCGGATTTGTGGTTACATCATCAAATAAAATGAATTATCTTCACATTGCAAAGACCGTTGCACAGAGGCCCAACCCAGATCCAATGTTGCTCCAGTTTTTCAAGTCTCAAGGTTATAGGGATGATCCAGATAATCCTCTTAGACATAATTATGAAGGTACTTTAAGAGATCTTCTACAATTCTTCAAGCCTAGACAACCTAAGAAACTTTACTATCAGCATCTTAAGATGAAAATCACAGACTGTGAGAACAGGTGAAGTTTTAAATGTACATAGTTAAACAGCCAATTTAGGGAAGAAGAAATAACACTATAACCAGACAAGCATGGGTGTGTCTGGGACCTGTCAGAAGAATGTAAAAAGTCCGTGGAGCTTGGGGAGAAAGCAGCAGGGAAACTTAGGCTTCTAGAAATTGTAAGCTACAAAATCATTCGTGTCCATCAAGAAGATGAACTATTAGAATGTTTATCTCTGGCAACGAGCCGGACATTGTGAATAGAGGAAATCCCTTTGGACCAGATGGACACAGACAAAGAGAATGAGATGCTTGTCACAGTGGCACATTTCCACAAAGAGGTCTTCAGAACGTTCGGAATCCCATTTTTTCTGAGAATACACCAAGGTGAGCATTTCTGAGAAGTGACAAAGTGAATCCAGAGCCTGCTGGACATCCAGGAGAAGGAGTACGAGAAGTTCAAGTTTGCAGTTGTAATGATGGGACGACACCAGTACATAAATGAAGATGAATATGAAGTAAATTTGAAAGACTTTGAGCCACTGCCCAGTAACATGTCTTATCCTTGGCCTTGGCTAGGGCTTGACCACTTCAACAAAGCCCCAAAGAGGAGTCGCTACAATGACCTTGAAAAGGCCATTAAAATCCCCCAAGCTGGTGTGTTCAAGGCGAGGACAGTGCGTGGGGGCCCCCTAACAGCCTAGAACTTTGGTGCAAGCACCCTCTAGTCAAAGTCTTCAGCAAGAGGATTTGCTGCTGGGTTTTTGTGGGTTTTTTTGTTTTGTTTTGTTTTGTTTTTTGTTTTTTCTGTGTGTGAGACGGAGTCTAGCTCTGTCATCCAGACTGGAGTGAGGTGGCACGATCTTGGCTCACTGCAAGCTCCGCCTCGCGGGTTCACGCCATTCTCCTGCCTCAGCCTCCTGAGTAGCTGGGACTACAGGCGCCGGCCACCACGTCCAGCCAAGTTTTTATATTTTTAATAGAGACGGGGTTTCACAGTATTAGCCAGGATGGTCTTGATCTCCTGACCTTGTGATCCGCCCGCCTCGGCCTCCCAAAGTGCTGGAATCACAGGCGTGAGCCACTGCGCCCAGCTCGCTGCTGGTTTTAATTTTATTTTGTTGAGGCTGTTCAGTTTGGCTTCTCTGTATCTATTGACTGCCTTTTTGAGCAAAATGAAGGTGTTTTTATAAAGCTTGGATGCCAATGAGAGTTTTTTTATGGTAACCACAGTGCAAGGCAACTGTCAACGCAATGGGGGAGAAGAGGTTAGCGGATCGCGAGTCCCTGACTCAAGGTCTCTGGACTGTCCCTGGTGGGCACGAATGGCCTTGGCTGCCTTCCTGGGGTCCCGTGCACCAGCCCTGCAGCTAGAAAGTCTTGTGTTTAGGCTCGTCTAATCTATTTCCTTCAGTTATACTTTCAATGACCTTTTGTGCATCTGTAAAGGCAAAACAGAGAAACTCACAACCTAATAAATTGAGCTCTTCCCTTCAAACAAACAACAACAACAACAACAAAATTTATAAGACTCTAGACAGGCTAAGAAAGAGAGTGGGTACAAATTACTACTATCAGAAATGAAAAAGGGGAAATCACTCTAGGTCCCACAGTTATTAAATGAATAATCAAAAAATACTATGAACAACTCTGTACCCACACATTTGATAACTTAATGAAATGAACCAATTCCTTGAAAGACACAACCAATTAAACTCACATAAGAAGAAATAGACAACTTAAATAGGCCTATAACTATTAAATAAATGAACTGAGATGATATGCCAAATCCTGATTTGATCATTATGCAATGATACATAAACCAAAACATAACACTGTATACCATAAATATGTAAAATTATTATATGTTAATTAAAACTAAATTAAAAATAAATAAATAGAATTACTGATTCATAACCTTCCAAAATAGAAAGCACCAGGCCCAAGTGGACTCACCGGTGAATTTTACCAAGAATTTAAGAAGAAATTGTATTAATTCTCCAATGTCTCTTTCAGAGGACAGAAGCAGAAGGAATATTTCTTAACTCATTCTATGAGTCCAGCATGACTCTAATACAGAAACCAAACATACTACAAGAAAAGAAAACTACAGACCAATATCTCTCATAAACATAGATGCGGAAATCTTCAACAACTTATCAGCAACCTGAATCCAACAACGTATAAAAGGAATTATACACATGACCCAGTGGGGCTTTTGTCAGTTATGCAAAGTTGGATAACATCCAAAAATCAATTAATGTAATTTATCACATAAACAGACTAAAAAAGAAAATGTATATGACCATATCAATAGACACAGAAAAGCATTTGAGGAAATCCAGCATTCAGGCATAATGAAAACTTCCAGCAAACCAAGTATAGAGAACTCCCTCAAACTGATAAGATCATATACAAAAAAACCCACAATGAATACACTTGACGGGGAGAAACTAGACATTTTCTCATTAAAATCAGGAACAAGGCAAGAATTTCTTCTCTCACCACTCCTTTTCATCATTGTACTGGATGTCTTAGCTAATACAATGAGAGAAGAAAAGGAAACCGAAGGTATACAGATTGAGAAGGAAGAAATAAAACTGTCTTTGTTCACAGATGACATGATCACATTTGTAAATCTGAAATAATCTACAAAAACTGAACTAATAAGTGATTATAATGAAGTTACAAGGTCAGCATGCAAAAGTCAATCACCTTGCTGTATACCAACAATAAGCAAGTGGAATTTGAAATTAAAAACACATTGCTACTTAAATTAGCACCTCCCAAAAATAAAATACTTAGATATAAATCTAATGAAATTTGTATCAGATCTATATGAATAAAACTGGCCGGGCGCGGTGGCTGACACCTGTAATCCCAGCACTTTGGAAGGCTGAGGTGGGCATATTACTTGAGGTCAGGAGTTCAAGACCAGCCTGGCCAATGTGGTGAAACCCCGTCTCTACTAAAAATACGAAAATTAGCTAGGCTTGGTGGTGCATGCCTGTAGTCCCAGCTACTTGGGAGGCTGAGGCAGGAGAATCGCTTGAACCTGGGAGGTGGAAGTTGCAGTGAGCCGAGATCATGCCACTGCACCACTCCAGCCTGGTGAAGGAATGAGGCTCCATCTCAAAAAAAAAAAATCTATATGAATAAAACTAAAAAATTCTGATAAAATATATTCAAAGAAGAACTAAATAAATGGAGAGATATTCCATGTTCACAGATTGGATGACTCAGTATTGTAAAGATGTCAATTCTTCCCAACTTGATCAATAGATTCAATGCAATCTTAACCCAAATTCCAGCAAGTTACTTTGTGGATATTGATAAACTTGTTCTAAAGTTTATATGGAGATGCAAAAGACCCAGGATATCCAACACAATATTGAAGGAAAACAAAGTTGGAGGTTTGATACTATTCCAGTTCAAGACTTGCTATAAAGCTACAGTAATCAAGACAGTGTGAAATTGATGAAAGAGCAGACAAATAGATCAGTGAAACAGATTAGAGAGTCCAGAAATAGACTCACATAAACGGGTAGTTATTTCAACAAATGGTACTGGAACAACTAGATATCCACGTGCAAAAAAATGAATCTAGTTACAGATCTTACACCTTTCACAAAAATTAACTCAAAATTATCATAGACCTAAATGTAAAATGCAAAACTATAAAACTCCTAGAGGATAACATAAAAGAAACCTAGATGACCTGGGGTATAGTGATGACTTTTTAGATACAGCATTGAAGGCATGATCCATGAAATAAATTATTGATAAGTTGGGCTTCATTAAAATTAAACCTTTGGCTCTGCGAAAAGCAATGTCAAGATTATGAGGATGACAAACTATAGACTGGGAGGAAATATATGCAAATCAGGCACTGGATAAATAACTGTTATCTAAAATATATAAGGAACTGTTAAAACTCAACAATAGGAAAACGAACAACTTAATTATTAAGTTGGTGCAAAAATAATTGCGACTTTTGCCATTACTCTCAAATGAGCAAGTTAAAAATGGGTAAAAATGACCTAAACAGATGTTTCACCAAAGAAGATATACATATGACAAGTAAGCATGTAAAAATATGTTTAACATCATATGTCATTAGAGAATTGCAAATCATAACAAAAACGCGATACCATTGCACACCTATTAGAATTGTTAAAATCCAAAACATTGACAACAGCAAATGCAGGTGAGGACGTAGAATAACAAGAAATCCATTCATTGCTGATGGGAATGCAAAATGACACAGCTACTTTGGAAGACAGATTGGTGGTTTCTTATAAAAGTGAACCTTCTATTACCATATGATCCAGCAATTGTGCTCCTTGGTATTTACCCAAATGAACTGAAGATTTTACGTACACACAAAAACCTGCACATGAATGTTTATAGCGGATTTATTCATAATTGCCAAAATTTGGAAGCAACCAAAATGTCCTTCAGAAGGTGAATGAATAAATAAACTGTGGTACATCCAGACAATGAGACATTATTTCAGTGCCAAAATGGAAAGAACTATCAGGTCATGAAAAGACATGGAGGAAACTAAAATACATACTACACTGAAGAAACTACTCTGAAAAAAAAAACTGCATAGTACAATTCCAACTATACACCATTCTCAGACAGGCAAAAACTATGGAGACAATAAAAAGATCAGCTTGCCACAGGTTGAGAGGAGGGAGAAATGAAAAGGTAAAGAACAGAGAATTTTTAAGGCCGTGAAGCTATTCTTTATGATACTATAATGATGGGCATATGTCATTATACATTTGTCAAAACCCATAGAATGTATAACACCAAGAGTTAACCCAAATGTAAACTATGGATTTGGGGTGATAGTAATGTGTCAATATATGTTCATTAGTTGTAACAAATGTATCACTCTGATGCAGGTTTCATAGTAGGGGAGGTTGTGTGTGTGTAAGGAAAGGGGCTATATGGGAACTCGCCATAATTTGCATCCACTTTTCTGTGAACCTGAAACTGCTCTAAAAATAATGTTTATTTTTTTTAAGTAGGGTCAGAAAATATAAGCCAATTTTCACACCCACATTTAGAACTTCCTTAGACATTAAATTATGAAAACTAGAGAAAAATGATTTTATTCAGTTGCTTTTAGAATCATTAACACCACTTAGGTCTCATTTTTTGAACCTTGGTCAATGTTTTTTTCATGGCAGAAATACAGAAAAACTCTCTTTCTCTCATGGTAGTTGAGAGTTAATACACGCCATTTCCATTATAACAGAAGATTTCAATTTCATAGTTTTATATACTCCTCTCCGATTTTTAGATTTCTAGAGAGAAAAATATTTTATTACCTGTGTTAAAATATAGCTTTTGGGTATTTCTATTGAGGCTTTTAAAAGAATATGTCCTAATAGTTATTTCATTAATCTCTTTTATTTAGGCTAGCATGAAAATAAAAGTATATGTAATTTCACGTTAATGCTAATACATAATACATTGTGTTTATATTGGTTATATAAACTAAACAAATTTTTCAATGTGATTTTTTTTTCATTGCAGAAGAAATAATGTGAGTACCAGAAGAGAAATAGAGCATAATGGATGTAATTGGCTGTATTTTTCTGATTACCTGCAGGTGGTAATATTTATGAAGTAGGCATTTTTTTCTTTTTAATGTTGATCCCTGAGCAGATCTTTTGTTGTTACACTAGTCTGTGCCTCCTTCTAACTGCACCTGCTCTATTCAGAGATCATGTTTC